GGCTGTTTCTAAAAGACTCGATTAAAATTAAAACTGCATTAGCAACATAAACATCCAGTTCAGACAAATTGCTGCGAAAACTGTTGTATTGAAAATTTTCAGCTCCTTCCAATAGTACATCAGCTTCTTGGCTCCAACACACGGACGCACAGCCATCCTACACACTTGTAATTGGTCCTGGAATAGGCCTTAATGTATTATTCCCATACAGTCACATCACCGATTTTAGCACGAGCAGAAATGAGAGCAAGGAATGGATATGCATTAAAAGCCTTCCACCTCCCGGACAGAGCTATGGCTACCTAGACGACGCAAGGGCTGGGTTTTTCCACTCCTACAGATTGGCAGCTTTCTGTATCTCACAATCTAGGTAAAAATCCCTTGGAGGTAAGAAGCGTTAACGAGTTTAGGTCAACGTGGGCAAATAAGGGGTGTTACAGGCCAACTGCGAAACATGCACAGCAAAGATGATCAGAACAGTAACTCTGCTCTGCGCGGAGGGGACCAGCAAACCAATGCTGACTGATCAAAAGCAGTTTCATCAGAACACAATTCCATAGGAATTCTGGCGGCGTAGATGGTGGAGGGAGACGCTGACGAAGCAAGTGCCCGTCCAGGACAATCACTGCTGCGAGTTCTGTTGTAGCACATTTTGCAGGGTTTTGTGGTTTTGCAGAGCGGCTACCACGTCCTCGTAGAGAGTGTTCACGCTGATGCAGAGAGGTTGATGTTTCAGCTCTGTCAGCTTGCAGGCGGCCAGCGTACAGAGGACGCCCAGCAGCACGAAGAGCAGGACCCTCAGCACCGACCGCGACCAGGAGTGCTTGTGCCGGGGTGGCTGAGGCGGACGAGAACCGGAGGCGGGCTCTGTAACGAGAACGTTTACAAGACAGAGAACGTGAGGGATTAATCAAACATCTTTAACATCAGTCTACGTTCAGAAACGAGCTGTTCAGGTAAGATACATTCGCCTGCGCTGTGGTTGTCTTTTGTCACGAATTTTCATCACTTAACTCTGGTTAATAAATAGACGCGCAGGGTCTACCCATTTAG